GTATGTATATGTTATCACTCACTACTTTTAAATTACTACATTACTGAAAGCTAAGTAAATAAACCAATGTCTAGTAGATTTTCTCATAACAACACATTGGTCAAATCTCAACAACAAATAATCTATTCATTGAATTGGAAGTATGATAAAAATGAACAGCAGCTTTGGTTTTAGTTCAGAGGAAGACTGTTGGAGTTTACATTATTAAGCCTGGTTTTGCACCTTAGTTATGCCGCTTCCAGGCTATGTGTCTCACTTCTGATCTTTCTGAGTCCTGGTTTTATGATCTTTAAGTAGAATTTACTAACACAGCATGTTCATAAGAGAGAGAAATGATAGAACCAAGAAAATGGGTACAGTAATAACAGGTACATGTGAGTGCTTACTAAATGATTATTGAAGATAAGCCTGAATAATACGACTATAATAATTTTTATAATTTATTTAGAAAGTTTATTGTACTAATTAATTATATAATAATTGTTCCCTCATAAGTATGTATTCTTGGTAGCTATGTGGTAATATACTGATGGATTTATTTCTATCTGCTTTATGATATCCTGGCTAATTTTAAATAGACCCCTCAACATTGTGATGTACATTCTTATGAAATTAAAGGTTGAGCATTAATAATATCTTGATGTTCTGAAGATTCAATATTTATGTAGCTTCCCTATATTATTAATTTCTTTTTTTATTATTATTCATATGTGCATACAAGGCTTGGGTCATTTCTCCCCCCTGCCCCCACCCCCTCCCTTACCACCCACTCCGCCCCCTCCCTCTCCCTCCCACCCCCTCAATACCCAGCAGAAACTATTTTGCCCTTATTTCTAATTTTGTTGTAGGGAGAGTATAAGCCATAATAGGAAGGAACAAGGGTTTTTGCTTGTTGAGATAAGGATAGCTATACAGGGAGTTGACTCACATTAATTTCCTGTGCGTGTGTGTTACCTTCTAGATTAATTCTTTTTGATCTTACCTTTTCTCTAGTTCCTGGTCCCCTTTTCCTATTGGCCTCAGTTGCTTTTAAGGTATCTGCATTAGTTTCTCTGCGTTGAGGGCAACAAATGCTAGCTAATTTTTTAGGTGTCTTACCTATCCTCACATCTCCCTTGTGTGCTCTCGCTTTTATCATGTGCTCAAAGTCCAATCCCATTGTTGTGTTTGCCCTTGATCTAATGTCTGCATGTGAGGGAGAACATACGATTTTTGGTCTTTTGGGCCAGGCTAACCTCACTCAGGATGATGTTCTCCAATTCCATCCATTTACCAGCGAATGATAACATTTCGTTCTTCATGGCTGCATAAAATTCCATTGTGTATAGATACTGCATATTCTTAATCCATTCGTCAGTGGTGGGGCATCTTGACTGTTTCCATAACTTGGCTATTGTGAATAGTGCCGCAATAAACATGGGTGTGCAGGTGCCTCTGGAGTAACCTGTGTCACAGTCTTTTGGGTATATCCCCAACCCAAGAGTGGTATTGCTGGATCAAATGGTAGATCAATGTCTAGCATTTTAAGTAGCCTCCATAATTTCAATTAATATATATTTTGTTCCAGTAATTTAAAAATTCTCAAGATTTACCTGATTCTTGTCTCTAAAATGTTCAATGAATGTATTTCATTTTGCAAAGTATTCAAGCATTTTCTAGATAAAGATAATATATATTAAGTAGCATGTAAAAAATATACATCATTAAACACAAAACTTTCCTTCAGAATGTCTTCAATGCACAAGTGATAAAGGAATGTGCATTGAATATTATAGTACTAAAAACTCAAGGTATTAAAGTCAGTTAATAAATTTTTATAATAATATTTGACAGATTTTTTTGAGGTAATATTCATGACACTGTCAGCATGGACATGAAGGGAAGGGTCTATAACATAATGGAAATAGGAAGCTTAAGCAGAGAGAACAGAACCAGACCCTGGAAATCAAAGCAGAATAATTAAGAATTGTTCATCTGGGAACACAAATTTTTCATAGAAGCAAGTAATTCCAGCAAAAAATCATTAGTTTTAGGAAAATTGTTTAGAAAAGGGGCCAATCCAATATTGGCAATGCATATGCAAGGGAGAGTTAGAATGAAAATTGTTTGGTGTTAGTGAAGTTTCTTTGAAGTGGATGGTTGGTAAAGTGAAGGGTTTAGAAAGTGAGGCCTCACTGACAGTACTGAAGATTGAAGTAGTTGGAAAAAAAATCTCCTGGGCATCTGTGATTCAAGAGAAAGCTATTATGGTGCAAGAATTTGGATATTGTAAGATAGTAAAGGAGGGGTCAGGCGTCACTGATGCCAGGGTGAATTTGGAGATCACTGAGAATAATCTTAGTACTGTAGTGGGGAGGATATTTGGGTCTGTGAATACTCTCAACAATGAGAATGATATTAGGGAATGCTGGGAATTTTAGAAACTGAGAGGTGGTTTGGTGGAGAGTAGAAGAGTGCTCTTCAAGTTAGCTACTTGTATAATGCTAGCTCTCTCTGAAGAAGGGATTAAGATAATAAAAGGAAATGTGCCCATCTTTGAGAAAGTGGTATTTTGAGAGGAATGCAAATAAAGGCAAAACTACAGAATTGAGAGGAAAATGTTCAGGGTACTCAGATCACTTTGCAAGAGCAGAAGAGATTTTTGAACAGTGTGATGTTAAAAGACTTGCTGGGTATGTGCTTATGTAAGAGGATCTAGTAGGTTGAACTGGGGGCAGGAATTCACTAGTTTTGTAAAAGAACAGAGAAATAAGTGGAAGAAATATAGCTGAGAGATGTTGAGGGTTAACCTCAAGTTAAAGAAAGACTAGATGAGGGTGTGCACAAGAGGAAGGAATGTTGAGTCATGTCTGTGTCTGCCTTCTGAAAGATTACATGTAGATAATGTTCTCATTGAAAAAAATGCAGTCTTAAATTTGCATGTGCCTTTTTTTTTTTAAATGCAGATTGTGGGGAAAGAGAATTTGGTTTGATTTTATGAATTATGTTTCAGGGTTTTGAATGGAAGATTATTTTGCCTCATTCAGGGGAATGAGTAGGAGTTGTTTGTATAAAATTCATGAAAGGGTGGGTACAAAGAAAATTAGCAAAATACTGAATGACTAAAAAATTGCAAAACCATAATTGGGACTTTGTTTCCTGAGGCATGTATGTATGCACTGGCATACACACATCCATCGTTGATACATAATATGTGTATATAAGCTTGGATATACAGGAGCATAGTTAAAGATCAGTGAATTTTAGGATTTACAAAATTATTATGAGGCACTGAATTTGATGCCCCAGCACCACCCACCCCATTAAAAAGAGGGGGTAGGAAGCGAACACTTTCGTAATTTACAAAAAAATCATAGAAAACACTTAAAGTAGCCACCATTATATCTGCCTTCTAATTTAATAGAAGTAAACATTATACATTTCTTTCTTATTCTTTTTGTTAACTCTTTTTTGATAGTAAACACACATAAACATAGTACTAGTACTAGTCAGTGGAATGCTGGAGCTAGTGAATACCAGAGAGTTGTTAAGTTTTCAGAAATTTTGAGAGTCAAAAGATACCACACTGATAATTTGAAATTGTACATATAGGAAATACTTGCATTCCAGAAACTGACAAATGCTACAAAGTCGCACTTTACATTTTTGGTTAAAGAACTAGCTAGTTCATTTTACCGGCAAACTGTTTGCCCTACTTTGCTTGGTTTGACTGCTACATTATATTTTATTGGGTGAATGAAACTCAGAGATGTTTGGGTCTTCCCCATATTTAACTCTCATAAATGGTGCTGAGTTCAACAGTCCTATTTATATCTCCTGGATATAGAAGAGTGTTCAAATGTAGAAATCTAGGACTAGTATTGCAGTGTGCTGAGCTTTGCACATCTTCAGCTTTCCTAAATAGCAACAAATGATTTTCTAAAGACAATTTTAGTTAGAATGCCACCATTAATTCTATTGTTCTTATTTCCCATATCTAGTACTATGAATCAATGCTTCAAGTGTTATTAAAGAAGACCAGGGATATTTAGCATTGCACCAAGAAGAAATGAGGTTCAGGCTCTTGACCCATTTTTTCTCATAGTTAGGGCTTTTCTTTGTCTTTTGTCATATAGAACTTTCAAGTTTTAGATTGATGATTTCCTTTCATTGTCATTAGGCATACGTATTTTCTCTTTTTATAGCCTGTCTATTTTTGATTGGGTTGTTTATCTTTTTTTATTGAACTATAGAAGATCTTTACATATCTTTGCTATTTATCTTTTGATGGTTATTTCTTTGACAAATATCTTATAATTTTATTATAGTTGAAATTTTTAATCATTTCCTTTATAGTTTATGCTTTTTGGTCTTGTATGAGATACCCTGATATCATAAATGTGTTTTCCAAGTTTCATTTTGAAAGTTGACAGGTATGCTTTTAATATTTAGGGTGTTTTTTGATTACCTCTTTAAAATGAATAAATTGAGTGTGATTAATGCCAAAGAGATAGGCATTTACAAAGAGTACAGATTCTGTGTTGACTCTAAATTATTCATCAGCATTTATTGTCACTCTGTGGTGCACACTTGGTACATATTTGGAATTCAAAGATATATAGGGCATGGTGTTGATCTCCTGCAAGGATAAACATTACAAACCATTTGTAGATTGGTGTACACTAAGAGAAGCTAATGCAGACACTGGGAGGATGGAGGGCATGAATCATTTGCTGTGGAGGCACTGACTCTCCTGTTAATTCATATACACTGCTGTAGCAATTTTACAGAAAACCAAGATAACTACAATAGTGTCAGCCCTGCACCCTTAAAGGGAAAGCAATATTTACTTAAATCCTTTCTGTTATTGAATGACAATTGCAATAATTTTTGAGTCTGCATAGACATTTTTCCTCTAATTTAACAACAAGAATAATTTATCACAGATACTGCTTGCTAAGATGCTTTTGATTTACAGAAAGGTTAAGAACCTGTTTTTAAAGATTGGTTTCTGTTTGCAGAGGCGAAATGGAGAAGATATACCTGTAGCCCAGACTAAGAACATCAATCACAGAAGATTTGCTGCTTCCTTTAGATTGCAAGAAGTGACAAAGACAGACCAGGATTTGTATCGCTGTGTAACTCAGTCAGAACGAGGTTCTGGTGTGTCCAATTTTGCTCAACTTATTGTGAGAGGTAAAATTGTTTTTACTTCATGAAATTGCATGTCTTTATTAGAACAAAAGCAACTCTGTAGACATTCTGATTGATTTTTAAATCATAGTATTCTTCATTACAAGTCACTATAAAAAAGATACAATTATAAAAGTTCTCATGATATAATTTCCTGCAAATGTTTCTAATCAAAAGGAATCTGTCTTATAATGCTATCATAGGGTCAAAGATATAAAATACTCCATATTGCCTTCATCTAGTTCAGTTCACATTTCAAAACTTTAGATCTGTTTCTTTGTGTCATAAATACTACTGAAATGCTTTGTCGTTTGAAGCATTATGGCAATAAGGTCAAGGTCAAAGGCTACATTCTCATGTAGACCTGTACATTTTAGGAGTCTCAAGCCTCGAAACTGAGTGTTCATTAATTCTGCCTTCTATTAAGTCTCAGAAAGTTAGGACTGCTAAGAGTTTCTCATTAATATTCTTAGATGCTAAAATTACTAGAGAATGTGAGGGGTTACATATATCAGACACACATCTGTAGTGGATCCTGGAAAAAAATATTCAAGGTCAAAAGATACAAATTCATTCAAAATTTACAAGTCCAGGACAAGAGGTGTGACTCAAGTGTTATAGTGCCTGCTTTTTAAAGCATGAAGCCCTGAGTTCAAGCCCCAGCCCCACCAAAAAAAATAAATAAATAAAATTTACAAGTCCATATTTTATCCCAGGCACTGTGCTAGGTTGGAGGGATTCAGTTGTAAATACAGTGCAGAGTTCCTATCCATGTGGTACATAACACTGAGTTACTTTGGGAGCCCTTTCACAAAGATATAGAAAATATAGTGTAAAGTCATAGTACATGTAACAAAAAGACACACAAAATGATGGAGATTGGTACTTTAGTTAAGGCAGTTTGGAAGGTCTTTAAGAAGGTGATAGTTTAGCTGAAACCTTAAAAAATATGAGGACTTCAGTCATATGACAATGTAGAGTAGAAATAGTTTTGTTGAATCAAATCTCAAGCATCAATTAACATTGACACAAATGAAAATAATTGTGTAAGCTTATTTCCATAGAAATTTGGGAGCCCCTAACAATAGCTAAACTAGGAAGGTAGGGAGTATGGCTCAAGTGATAGAGTGCCTGCTTAACAATCACAAGGCTCTGAGTTCAAAGCTCTGTACCACCATAAACTAAAAAACACTAAACTGGGTAGGGATTTGTGTAAAGTATCAAGAAAGGCGTTTGTGAATGAATATTCTTTGAGGAAGGATCTGAAGATTGAGAAAAAATTGCCCAGGTGAGGGGAATGGATGTAAGGACCAGTATGAGAGAAAGAGACACAAGCAGGTAGTGGGAATAGCACCTGCCCACACCCAGAGGCTGGAAGAAAATATGAGATATGCCCATACTCATACTAATATATCTTGTAAGGCTTGAAAGCCAATGTCTGCTATTTATGAATTATTTTAAGACTTAATTCAATTTTAATACTTTATCCTTTAATGATTATAAACAAAAGGGAATTGAAATTCTGGTTATTTGACAATTTTCCCTGAATCACAAAAATCTAATGACTGATGGAGACAGGATATAAACTCTTTTTTGTCCTTATAATAGTAAGCTCATTCTTTCCCACCTTCATTAATGTTATTAAATAATCCTATTAGTCTTTTGTATACTTTTATCTTGGGAAATTTGATAGTTAATAAAAATTTTACCTTTGTAGGTTGAATATGACTATTTCCAATGAAATTTCTTTTATGTTTCAATAGTCAACTCACATCACCTGCCCAATTTTATTAAATTCCATCCCTAATCTATTAAACATTGAGAAGATATGGTAATAATTGCCTCCACCCACTTACCATGTGTTCCCCTATGATGAGTGTATTGCCATCTTTGTTGAGTTTCATTCTGGCATCTTTCTCGCCTAAGCCTAAATTTGAAAGCTGAAGGTGCCCTTGGGTAATCTTGTGATTGACAGGCTCTAGTAACAGGGACGTGGATGGGCTGCTGAGTAATCTAGTGAGCTGTGTCTTCCCAATGCTATCTGTCCATTCACAGTGTACAGACATGAAGGTGATGGTGTCTTACTGCACCTAGACTACTTTACACTACTTCAATCACATGTAACATATGTAGCTAAATATTTGAAACGTAGTACTGATTTTAGTTATACATATGGCTCTAAACTTCTTTTTAAATTGGTACTGAGTATTGAAGCCAGGTCCTTGCACATGCCAGGCAAGTTCTCTACCACTTGAGAGAGACACCCCAGGCTCTTTGGTTTGTATTTTCCTTTTCGTTTCATTTTTGAGATAGGATCTCCTTAACTTTGCCTGGACTTATCTTGAACTTGTGATCTTCCTGCCTCTGCTTCCCAAGTAGCTGTGAATACAGACGTGTGCCACCATGCCCAGCTCAAACTTTTTTGAGCAGGGAACCTGTGATGGATTAATTTCACAGGTTGTCAAAGGCAGTGTTGATGCTTTTATAGAGGTCCACTCTTTGTATATATAATTCTTTCATTTGTGTGGATTTTTGCCAGCTTTTTTAAAAAGAGAATTTGCTTTTCATTATTAGATTTGGGGGGAAGCAGAGTTAGATTTAAGCTGAGGGTCTTCTTTGATAGGCAAGTGACCTCCATTATACTACGGCCCCAGATGTCTGTCCCTGGCTTAATTAACAGGTGTATTTTACTATTTTAGCAAAGCCTAATTTCTACACTTGATTGTAGCCAGGAAGGCTGAGAAACACATTTCAAAGACTAATTTTCTTTATCTGGAGGCAACTACATTATTGCAATAAATCTTTTTTTTTTTCATGCAGTAAATCTTTTAAAAGGAATATCCTTAAATTTCTTGCAAAATTTTGACTTTTTCTTTTTTTTCCTTTTATAAGAAAATAATACCACATAATATGTATTCCATATAATATGTATTTTATTTTAGCTTTTACGTTAGAAAGGTTTGTTTAAAATGCAATGAGGGTTTGAATGTGTTACTACAGTCTGCAAACATTATAGCATGTGTTTTGATAATTTTGACAGTTTTACTTACTTTTTTCAACAGCTTTTAGGATCTATATCTAATACCTACAGGTGATACTTTGCTTGCTGTTTTATTTGAAAACTAATAAGTGTTTATTTTTTGTTTAAATAACCACCGAATAATTTTGTAACAAAAATACACCCTTGGGGGTTCGGCTGTTCTGGTGTTGAAACAGAGCTCAAAATTAACTATGATGACAGGTCCTATCTCTCATTGGCACTTTTAAATCTGACATCCTGTTATCAGAATACAAAAGATGGTAATTTTAAAGGAAATTTTTAGGGCAGTGATATGAATAGTCTTTAATAAGAGCTGGCATAGTGTTGCCTGTTGTCAAAGATGACCCATGGTAAGAGTTTATTAGTGCATTTTCTCTTAAACTGAAAGTGACAGGGTATGCTTTAGGCTTTTTTGTTGTTCTTGCTGTTTGTTATAAACGAAAATTGCCCTGCAAAACTCTCATGCTAAAGAGTATTGATCTATGTGTTCGCATAGCCATAGGAAGAACAAAAAGAGATGGTAAAAAGAATTTACTTTCTCATGACTGTAGCATTGCTTCCAGATCATTTTGACTAATGATAATGTTACAGCCTGTGGAAGCCAATCTTTATTGACAAAGAAGTTTTTGTACAAATAGATGAAGGACAGACATTTTGCTCTGTAACTCTGCAAAACTGAAGTGTAAAACATGTGAAGTACATGTTGAAGTGTTTACCAGTTTCACAGTGAAAGCACCAACTTCGTTGTCTAATCATACATATATCATTTGGCTCATTCTCTATCTAATTTTTGGCCATCCTTTTCTGTCTGTCTACATCAGAGATCCACTTATATCTCTAACCAAAGGACCCAAAATAAGTTAGTATAAAATTTCCTGATTTCTACCACTGACACTCTATTCCAAGTTGTGTTATATTGTTGTATCTACCATTTTTACCACAGAAACTTCAATTACATTTTAAGTTTTTTAATTTGAAAGCAGAGATTTTTCTTTGTCATCATTAATAGTTTGATCATTACATTTTACTCTCAATTATTAGCCATTATTAAAATGCTCTGGATATGAAAAGTATTCAGTTAGTAGATAACTATATTAACTAATGAATAACAGTGACCTATAGCTAAAAATTGGGGTGAATATCAGTCCATTTATCCAGTCAGTCAAAGTAAGTATCCAACATCATTCAGAGTTAGTGTTAGAAGAAATTTATATTGAGGTTGATACTTCCCTTTGTAAGACAATGTAAGTCAGCTTAAAAATGAGAGTATTAGCTGACTTTTGTGACTGGAAAGTGCAGAGATAGTCTTCAGTTTTGTTTGATCTGTTCATTAAGGATCTAGGTTCTTTGCAATCCTTTGTTCTGTAGCCTATGATTTTGGAGTCTGTTGTAAGTCAGGCTCACTGATAGTCATGGGATAGCAATAAGATTCCGTGCTTCCTTGGTCTCATCCAGTTTGAGATAAAGAGGGTACTGCTTCACAAAACTATCAAAAAATAATAAAAATGTATCACTGGATGTTGAAGAAATCTGCAATGTCCAGTACTAAAATTTTATACATAGGACTCCAGAACATAGACATAGCTATGCATTTTATTAGGTGAGATTCTAACTGAGGAAGTATTTCAAGAGAAGGTACAATACAATCTCAAAGGGTATACAGAGCTTGGAATATGGTTATGTTGGAGAAGGGTGTTACCATACTAAGTCAAGCAACTATGAGTCATGAGATAATCAATGGGATCATAGATATTTTTGGTCAGTTGTGAGCTGTTAATGGAATCACTTGTTAAGTACCAGTTACTCAATACATTTGTAAAAAAGAAAAGAAATCCAAACTAACACAAGGTTTGCATGTGAATTTTAAGATTGTGCTTTTACTGTAATCATATGTAGTTCCATCAGATTCCTGATGACTACCTCATCTTTGTTTATTACAGCACCTAGCATAATCTTTATATAA